CCGGATAGAAGCTCCATAGGAGACCTTCAGATCAACAAAAAGCAGCACCCGACGACACGCCTCTAAACTAGTGGTATATAATAGGAATATAATGGGGCCCTCATATAATCCTTATAGTCACGAATTCACCGAGATGCTTTCCCATGGCTTTGCCCGCATTCTGGAAAGAGTGGGCCTGGGGAGTTCGTGCACGAGCTGTCCCCAGGCATCCTGTCAAGGGGCTAACAGTGACTAACATCTAACACAGAGGGCTGAAACAGGCTAGTAATCGTACCCTGTCATTAGGGACTAACATCTAACACAGAGGGCTAAAACATGCTAGTAATGGTAGCCTGCCATCGTCCCTGTCTGATTGATTCTGAGATGCACTAAGACGCTGTGAGAATCAAGGCTTCCATGTTAAGGTTCTTTGTTGGCGCCCTGTCGTTTAGTCTTGTTTGACATGTTATGGGAGTTTCCGAAAATTGGGGTACCTTATTTAAGGGTCCCTAAATAGTATATTAGGGTCACCCATTTTTTGGAAACCCCTATATGGCGCAGCAGACCGGGGTGCTTTCAGGGTGAGCAGCCAAATCCTGAGGCCTGTCGGGTGTAGGACTTTTTGGTTTGGGGTTTTGTGGTTTTGGGTGGGTGCCCGAGTTGCCGGTCCCAAGGATTCACAAGACCTCTTCCATTCTTGGCCGAGCATAGTTACCCCAGTAGGGTTTGCTGCCACTGGCTTGGTGCGATGCCACTATCGCCGACGTTCGCGTAGGGTTTCGATACAGGCGAGTTTGAGGGTCTGTTGTTGAGGCCTTAGGTACTCATGGCCCTCAGCTACCGCCCTGCTTACTGGACCCCTACGCCATGCTTCCGAGCCACGGCCTGAATAGGATCCTTATCAAAGGGACCCTTAAATAAGGTACCACAATTTTCGGAAGCTCCCATATGTCAAACAAGACTAAACGACAGATGTGAAGTCCTGAAAAGTACACCCAAAAAGCAGTAACCTCACAGACATAGAGCTCGATGCTTGGAGCCGTCCCGAGGCATGAGCGCCACCTGGTGAAGCTATTCCAAGTTCCCAAAGCAGTATATATAGGATCCATATGAACCTTTGGATGTGCCTTTCACTCATGATAAGACAACGAGGTGGAATAGAGCATGGAACTGCACAAGTAGGCGGATTTTCAGTCATTATTCACTTGGAACCGTTCGTATCATTGTGGTCTACCCCGAATCCCTGTTCTAATCATTCGGACCCCATATTGTAGCCCTGCAGCCCGAAACTCGCGAGGTGTGCAAATCAGCGCACGAAGAGGTTCCAAGCTCAAGCCTGGGTTGAGTTTCAGCGAGTCTTTGCAGTTGGTTGCAGGCGGATACCTAGTAGCTCCGTAGGTTGCCTTTTGGCATATACATATACACACACATATATATATGCATGTAATATGTTTTCTGACCTTTGTAACTTTATATCGATGGGTTTTTGTTTAGGAGGTTTGGCACTGAAGGGTGGGCTGTTTGACGCTTCCCAACCCAAAGTCTTAGAGTCGGTTGAGCTCAAGTCTGGCACTTAGTGTTTCAAGGGGTGTGCTTTTCGGTCCTTCAAAGGGGACAAGCCCTATAATGGGCTATAGAATGGGCACATAATTGCTATATTAAGGGTATATACCTAGAGGTCCTTATTAAGGGTCCCTCCTTTTACCTGGATTTTCGGTTCTGGGATGGATGCAAGTGGAGTAAACGGGAAGCGGATACCCTGGATTGCTCTAAAATGAGCTGCCAGCCACGAGGATAAAAATAATCCGTAGAAAAACACAGCCAAGCCTGATCGCTGCTCTTACTTGGCTTTTGGAGGGGGCCCCGGGATGTCAGCTCTGATGGAAAGCTTCAGCTCTACCAGGGTGTTAAGTTTGTTTTGATGACACGCCCCAAAACTAAGGCCACCCGTAGCCCTAAACCTCAGTATGTCATCAACCCCAAACCGTCCCAGCCAAGCCCTAAAAACCTACACTACTGCATCCCTTCATTCCCTGCCTTGAACTGAACCCTGGACATGGAAACTGTAGAGCCGGACTACCTGCCCAAAGCCCGCGACGAAGTTCTGTAACCACAAGCCCACAGGGCGAAATCTTCTCTCCCCCGTGTGTGCGAGGAGTTCCGGGCTTCGGTATTTAAGTAGGCTTTCGGAGGTTTAGGCGGAATTGTGGCTTCAAGAAGTCCCTAAAGCCACAAGCTCTCAAAGGTCGTTGAGGCCTTGGAGAGCAGCACCGTTGTCGAAATCACCCCGGTCATTCCCCAGAAGCAGTCGGCTACAGGCCCGGGCACTCGGAGGATGTACCTTTCGAAAGTTCCTGCCGCATCCCGAATAGAAGCAATACTCCATCACTCCTATATGGGCGTTTCCGAGAATAGGGGTACCATAGTTTGTCGTCCTATTTTCGGAAACTCCCATATCCTGTCGTGGGATTCAATAAAGAGATATCTTACGGTACTCGTATGTTGAGTTATTCAGACGCATTTTCTGGGTCCAGCACTACTTCCCCCCCGGGCAGCTATAACGAGACGGGTTACGTCGCATTGACGTTCATCGAAAGAGGTTAATATAGATATGATATACCCATTATATAGCCCATTGTAGGGTAGGGGTCCCCATTAAGGGCTGACCAAAAGATCGTGGTTCAGAGATGCTCCGATCCACGGTCTACTTGATACATTCGGGCTTCGAGGTCAGCCTCGGGGCTCGGCACAGCTGCAGCTCTTTGAAATAGCCCAGTGCTTGTAACCTAAGCCATGACAGCCCCACAGACTACAGAACTGCCTCCGACTGAAGACTGCAAAAAGCCCGGAGGAAGTCCGAAGAGCCCCCAAAGAGGCCGCAAAGCGCCAAAGCCTGCACAGAACCCAGAGCTCCTGAATACCACAACCCCCGGTCTGCAGGCAAATTCTACGGCCGGTCGGTGCTCAAGAGACTACAGGGCTGCTGGTTCAGACAGGACACTTCTTTCAGGGCTTCTGGTTTAGTTTGGGTCAACGCACCTGCGTCGCCCGTCGCTCACTTACTGTACTGAGGGCGCCATACCTCTAGCTTGGTCCATTCTGTAACAAGGTCGGTTAGTATCAACGTCCGTGAATTCGAGCAAATATGCACCCCGTTTGAAACTTTAAAGCCTAGCCCCGGCTTCCAGTACTCTAGTCCCCAAGCCCTGCTCAGCCGAAACCCATGTTCAAAGCGCCCTCAAGGACGGCGAGATGATCGCGCAGATCATTGACTCGCTTGTCATCTTCAGCAACAACTCTGTGGCATTTCTGTACCCCGGCATGCATGAGGTGCTAGGCTTGTGGGTCCAGGGTTTTCAGGTGTAGAAGTTTTCAAAGTTTACGGTTTTCACTGGCTTTTACGTATCTTCCATCTGAAGCAGAGGGCCTGGTTATGTCATGTTATGTCTACAAGCTTCCAAACTCCATGCCGCACATGCACCATGATCGTGGTGGCGCTCCAGTTGCCGTTTGCCCCTTCGACCTTTATCTCCTAAGGGAGCTGCACAAGACCCTGCACACGGTTCATGCCGAAACCCCGAATCGCATCGGGTTTCTCGTTTCGACAGTTCTTAAATGAAAAGATGCCACCATAAACAAAGCAACAAGGCTGAACCCTGCAACAACGAACCCCTGAGCCTCTAAACCCTACTTTCCTAAGACCCCAAAGCCCACGAAGCCCTAAACCGTAAACCCAAATCCTAAACCCTAAACCCTAAACCCTAAACCCTAATCCCAAACCCTAAACCCTAAACCCTAAACCCAAACCCTAAACCCTGAACCCGGAGCCGCTGGCTGAGGTCCCCCCAAGGCGAATCGCAGGTCTGCCTGTCGCTCGAAGGCGGGGCAAAAAAGCGGAGCGTAGGAGCCTCGGTGGGCTTTCGGGGCGCAGAGCGTCTGAGGCCATCTATGATATAGGGGTCTTAGTAATCAGAATAGGGTTTTGGGGCCCATTATACACATTAATTGTAACAAGGAACCCCCAACATAGTATAGGTATTCTGAACCCGACACCCCATTAAGACCCGGATCTCAGCGCTTGCTGTGCCAATCGTCCGAGCCCTGGCGTTCAGGGCATCGGATGTTTGGCACCTTCACCGAAGATGCACAGGCGAGGAAAAGGGGATATCCCGGGCAGGCTTTGATTGTGGTGGCTTAGGGCATAGATGCTGGAGAGCTTTCTGGCTTTCCAGGCCTCGCTGCGTTGGACCGATGGGGATATCTGGCTGCGGAAATGAGGCGTGCTTCGAGCCGGGGTTGGATGCTATATAGAGATATAGAGCTATGAAACTCGAGATACGGGTCACTAACCCGTGCGCCTTCTCTTTGAATTTAGGGTCCATGGACACCTCGGCGCCTGCCTGCACCGAACTTCGGTAGCATTCTGCAGGTTTAAGATTACCACACATAGCCACGCCCCGTGGCCACCGACTTCCCACCGCTTCTAGGCCCAATGGCCCGAATCTTAGACCCATTTCCACCTGGAACCTCTACAGCGGGGCTGAGGTCAAAGAGCCATGCCATACTTATCTTAACTTATCAAGCCCTGAAAACCCCTGAACCCTCAAATCCTACGCCCGGCACGAACCCCAGACACTCCACCGATTCCTTCCTGGGCTCCTCCACCGACTCACCCTGCGCGAAGACAGACGGTTTAACATCTCGGTAAGCCGCGAGGAACGCTGGAGTGCTTCAGAACCCCGCGGAAGCAAATCTTAAGTTTTTGGGTTGAGTTTGAAGACGGTAATTACTGGGGTTCAGAGTTGATAGGTTTGCAAGTTCTGGCGGAGCTTGCTTTCTTCCTACCGAGTCGTGGTCAGCACACACAATTGAACAGGAAGTATACTAAGACTTCCGGTGTAGTTTGAGGAGACTTTGTATAGTTTAGGGCTGCTTATTTTGCTCCCATACTGTAGACCCCAGAACAACAAGACAAAATAGGACATAATAGGACCCTTCTGCCTCAGGACCTGCGGAGCACCATGGGCCACCGAAGGTGGTTTGCAAGCGGCACGCAAAGACTGCGCGTCGGAAAGAACGGGGGTGGGGGGGAGGGAGCGCAGGTGCAGTTCTCAAGGTTTGGAAGTCTAAGTTCAGGCTTTGTTTCGGGTGTTTTGGGCTTCAGGAGGCTTGGGCCGAATGCAAGGTTTGCACTTTAAAATGTTGGGTTCGAAGCGCTAGAACAGAGGGTTCATTGCTTCCCAGTGCAGGGGCACTTTCGTGTTGAAGTTTCCTCTTGCAGCCCGCCTGGAGCTGAATGGAATCCAGCTGTCCTCGCCGCTGTCTTTCTCAAGGCCAAATTTTAAACCCCAGAGACCAGACCCTGAGACCCTAAACGTCCAAAAGGGACCCCCACCCCTACGGATCCCAAGTGCACGGACGCTTAAAGTGTCTGTAAAGTTTGACGAAAAAAGGGACCACCACTAGTTTGACCCGGTAAAAGCATAGGCAAAGCAAATGAGTTCCGATCCTGCGCCCGGGCCTGCCTTGGGCGTACGATCAGAGGCCAGCAGTGCATGCGTTCGGTTTAGGCACTTCAGGAGCCAGGGTTTAGGGTTCAGTCAGTGATTGCCAGCTTTTGCAAATCATCTTCTCTGTGTACCGTGGATGTTGGGAACGCAAGGCACGATAGCATGTTTGCCTCTGACGGTGTTCTGGAGCACTGCCTGACTGTGCGAAACCCGACCTGGGTTTCGGAACTTCCAAACCTCCTAGAACGGAACGCTCCGATGAACAAGCCAGGAAACACCACTACGGCGCCCGACGCCTTCAAAACCTACCTCCGAGACTGATCGAGCCCATTTATTGGGCTCATGTGGAAGTTTCCGAAATTAGGGGTACCTGATGTTGCTGTCCTTTTTAATAAGGATCCTACACTCTAGGGTATTATATTAGGGTCCCCTATTTTCGGAAACCCCCATGTCAAGCTTCCTTTGTATAGAGTACACCGTTTCTTCGAGAAAAACTCTGCTAAATCCGACCAGGCAAGGGTCATGGTCAGTGGCCACGGCCGATGCTTCTGAGGTCGGGTAGGGCCCTTGATGTTTGTCGGCAGTGTTTGGGGTGAAATGGTACAGGTTTGGTGAGTTGACGATATAGCAGTTTAGGACTTTAGGATCTTTGCAGAGTGTATAGTATCGCCCATGTTCGACGGTTCTGGCTTTGGTCTATTCGTTCTCGCTGTTAGGTTCCGTGCTTGTCTCGCCCATTCAAGGGCTTCGCCAAAATCAGAGATTCTGTATGAATCCCAAGCTTCAAAGTCTTGAGCCCACAACCCTATAGACCCTGACCACTGAATTGTACGCAGGGCAAGAGATCCGGGAGTTTGTGAGTGGAGTGTAGCACCCCGTCGATATTTCCGCTGCCAGCTGAATTGAATACAAGCCCCACAACACCTGAACCCCAGAACGTGTTCTGCTTTGCCGAACGCAGCTTCTTCCTCAACGCCTACCCGTTAGCCTAGACTTGTTGGCGAGGATCCTCTTTTGCCAGCTACCCTGGCTGTTAGCCGCCGACTGCAGCGGCGCGTTCGATGCGCCGGGCGCGCCGGCGCCAGGAGGGATAATGCGCAGCTGTTGGCCCTGAGTGCCGAGACTGGGGAAGGCTTTTAGCACGCGGCTGCAGCCATTTGGACTCAAGCTGTCTCCCCTCGGACGTTTACGCACACGTTCTTCTGTAGAGCGTAGAGTAGAGCGACAATGGACGCGGCCAATGATGTCTCCAACACTGCAGTGGACAAGGCATCGAAGGACTTCTCCAAAGATCTTCTTGCGTTACAGAAGACCAACCAGAGGCTGATGGGTGGCATGATGTGCATGGGTCTATTGGCCTTGGTGACGTGTGGTGTCTCAATTGCTGTGGCAGTGCTGGTGCAGGATGTCACGGACTCTCAGGAAGGGAGTGCCAGCATGGCCATCTCAGCAAACGACGTGCTTTTGGTGCAGGATGCCTGGGCCGACGCTGTCCTGAGCATCTCAAACACCTACCTTGCTGGTGGCGACTTCGTGGCAGTGGCAGGAGCAGCAGCAGCCGAACTCTACGGCTATGGCCACTCCGACGTGCTCTTCAAACCGACGTTGGCATCCGTGAACCAGTTCCGGCCGACTGCGACTGGCGCCTTGTCGTACTTTGTGGGTAACTCAAACGTTGCGAATGGTTATGCAGTGAAGTTGATCAATTTTGACAATTACGGCCGGCCAGTTTTTTTCGCTGAGCTTAGGCCTTTCCATTTGCCGTTACCTGTTGCCGGAAAAAGCTCGCTCCAGTGTGGTTTACATTATCGTAGTGGTTGAGCACAGTTTCCGATCAGAACATGTCCTTAGGCATGAGTGCGAAACCCAGTCTACGTTGTCCAACCCCAACTGTCGTGTCAGTATTTATGTCCGTAAATAAAATGGAGTGTGGGAAATTAAAAGGTGTGGTGATTCCATCCACCCTGACGTCAGGAGGAAGTATGTTTCCCGCGTCCACGAGTTTACACGGAACGAATTGGATAGCACAGTCGTTTCCACCCCTGTTGTTTTACAGCGCGCACACACACACACACACTGAAGAAGGACTGCCTTTGCCGTTCGCACGGCAAGTGGCGGCGAATGGCAGCGTCATTGCGTTGCAGCAGGGAGCCATCCAGGCTCGGGTCACTGCTACACCCTCGTCGCATAAATCCTTTACCCTAAAACAAAAACCCCTCAGTCCTTCAAAGCGTTGGGGTTGAGAGCGTCAGGGTTCAGCATAACTACCCGGAATGCAACAGGTTTCGGGGCTGGGGAGGAGTTGGCTTTGAGTGAAAGTCTATAAGATGTAATTCTGTGAATTGCAAGACCGTTGTGCCGTTCTTTCGATTGCATGCATATTCTATGATTCAGGTGCTAGTATACTAACTATGTCAAGGCTGCCTGTACAGTGTAATGGAACAAGAGATGTACTGGAAGTCGTTGCGGCCTGTGTGGCGCTTTGGTGTTGGTTTAGTGTCCAAGTGTAAAGATAATGGGCTCCACAAGACTTCTTAACCCAACCCTAAACCCTAAACCCTAAACCCTAAACCATCAAACTTTGAAGTCCTAAACTCGAAAGATCTCTAAAGCTGGTGTTCCTGGAAAGCCCAAGCCGTTTGCTGGCTTCCGGGCTTCTCGTCCAGCCCGACAGCTTCCTTCTTTCTTCACTCCGCCATATTCGTATAACACCTAAACCCTAAACTAAACCTTAAACCCTCAAACTCCCCAGAAAGAAGCCATATTGCACTTAAAAAAACTTCCCAACAGATCCGAAGTCCCAAAGACTTAGGCCCCGAGACCCTGAGCCCGAAGAGGCCTGTGAAACTCAGTGCAGACACCACTTACTCAAAGCCCTGCGCCTCGAAGCCCGGGTATGTTTGGGGATCAGTTTAATTTAGGGTCAGTGAGGGTTTATATATAAGGCTTAGGTTTAGGGATGGTTTTGGGGTTTCTCATGTACTTGGGGTTTCGAGTTTAGGGTTCTTCAGGATCCCCTTCCCAGCGGTTCCAGTCGGAGCTTGGACTGTCACGACGTACACTGGGGCCTGGTTCCTCAGCTCCGCTGTGGGTTTTGAATGGTGCGGGAGGGCGTGGCAGCTCGGTGTTGGGGATTTAGGGGAGTTCTAGGAGGCGTTTACAGGGTTTAGGACTGGAATTGTGAGGCTTTAGTGGGGGTTTGGGGACTTGGTGAGAGCTTCGGTGGTCCAGAGTTCTGTCAAGTGGACGTCTTGTATATACACATTGTCCACGAAAGCAGGAAGTAGGACGCGATGTGCGCAGGGCCCGCGTCCGGTACACGCCATGCTTGGCCGACAACGCTCAGGTTTCGGTTCGACGAGGTTTGTTGGGAATGATGATGAGTTGGAGTTTGGAACCTTACAAATAAACCGAAACTGCAGTCGAAAGGTTTACAAAGACGCGCTGTAGCCTTAGCCCTTTACGATGCGCTCTCTAGACCCCTCCGCCATAATCTAGTGCCCTACTCGAGAACTCCAAGCGCTCGTGGTTTAGGGCTCAGGGCTGTCGGGTTCAGGGTTTCAGGCGGGTTCGCTATTAAGGATTTACGAAATGTCAAGTGCAAGGACGAGCACTGACGGAAAATCCCTCTACGCCACGCCCAACAACCATACATACCTGGAAGCCTGGAGCCTTCATAAGAAGGCCTTCAGCCCTCCAACCTCCAGGCCTGGTTGGAACGGGGACCCTCCTCTGCGATGGGACGAGCTTCGAGGTCCTGAGAATAAGGGTCTAAGATGGTGTTTAGAGGCTTGACAGGCCTTTTGGGCTTGGATCGAGTAGCTGGTTTCACGGCTCAGGGTGCAAGGGTGCCAGGGCTTCTTGCCGAAGCCCCGATTAAGAACTCCCTCCGCCTTACATGTCACGGATCGTAATGAGGATGGTGCTGTGCTTCCCTTTTCGAGGGTCAGTGTTCGTTGTCGTCTTCAGCGCTCTCTAGGTTTCCAAGGAAAGGGCTTACGATTTGATGCGATAATATAGGGGCCTAAATGATTACCTACACTTTTTGGGGGGTTCCATACTTTACTTACAGCATAATGGGCCCCAAAACCCTATTCCGATTATTAAGGCCCCTATATTGGGTGGTTGGGCCGGTTTGGGGGTCTTGGGTGCGAATGTTCCTGCAGTGTCCATTGCGCGCAGGTGTCCACGGTGGGCTGCGTGCGAAACGGATGCCCTTGGCCCCTTTGAAAGCAAGACCATCCCTGGCTCCATCCCATAAATCTCTGTATTTATGGCATTGAAAATTATGAGTTCTGTGTTCATCCTTGTTACTATGCTCGGGATAAGGGGGCTATATAGTATATAATCGACTCCTAGACGACACCTCGAGCTTCAAGGAGCACTTCGAGCGCTACTGCACACTCAAAGCCCGAAAACAGCCCTGAAACACGGACCTTGCTACCTAGTAACGGAAGCCTCAAATTCGAGTCTGGCAGCATAGCCAAACCTGGACGAAAACCTCACAGCGACGTGGATTGGACCAACATACCAATCGTTGTTATATCAACCTACTAATATACCACCCGCAGCTTCCACACCGCGAAGCGACATGTTTCTACTAGGACAGCCCCCAGCCCTGATCCATAAGCTAGAAACCCCAAACCCCATACCCTGCACCGGACAGATGTCCAAGAAAGCCTTATCCCGGACCCTGTTGCCAAAGAGCCCTCAAGCGCGACATTTTGGATAGGGCTCATGAATCAATGAAGGTACAACGCGACAGTCCCAAACCCCTGGTTCAGGGTTGGGTTTCGGATTTTCGGATGCTTGGGCTTGAGGCAGCTGAAATCATGTTTCCTAGTTTGTACACTTCAACTAAGAGGAACTTGATGCCGGCCATGTTTTGCAAACTCTACATAACAAGTGGGCCTTGTCACAAGGAGAAAACGCTACATCAAGAAAAGAAAGCCGCAAAACGGATGCCAGAGCTGACTTGCCGAGAGGCACCGACTGTCCCTTGTGGAGGGTGGGGCCACTTATGCGGAGCCTCGGCTTACGAGAAGTGATATCTCGGAAGCATTTTTGAAAATAGCGGCTGTTGTGGTGGTTGAAGACGGCTGGACAATCTTCTTCGTGGGTGTTCGATTCGTTTCTGTTGGCAGCCGGAGACCGATGAGCATGACTGGGTCGTTCAGGGGTTGAGGTCGATGTGTGAACTTTCGTGGAGTTGAGCTGAATGGTGTAGGGTGGTGCCTTGGGGTTTCACTTTGGAGCTGGAGACGGTCACCCTCAAGAGTGCAGAATTCTCAGGCAGCAGGACCGCATGATGCTGATGCTGAAGAATACGTGGTTGTGGTGGTGGTTGTGGTGGTGGTGGTGGTGGTGGTGGCGGTGGTGGTGGTGGTTGGTGGCGGTTGTGGTTGCGGTGCCGGCCCTTGCCGGTGGCGGTGGCGGTGTGCTGAGTGATAAGATTTTGTGATCCACATGTTCCGTCTTCTGCTTCAGATCGGACTTCACAGGCATTTGTTGTCTGGTGGTGTTGTTACGAGCATCTACCATGGGCCTCAATGTGCCATCATGGTTATAGGTAGGCATCATTGATTTCAACTAGTACAGTCAGTAAACAGTTGATCTATTGACTCCTTTGAAAGATCGAGTGTCTCCCAAACCACGAGGCTGCAAGTGCCGGAAAATGACTGTTAGGTTAAGAGTTTTCAGGGTGAAGGGTTTCAAGCTTGACCTGGAATGTTGCCCCCCTCCGCCGAAACCCCCAAATCTTGAATCCCAAACTTAACCGTCGAAATCCTGAAAGCCTAAAACTTTAAACCCCTAAAACACGAACAGGTTTTCATGACGGTTCCCTTAAAGCCCAACTTAGGCGCCCAACCGGAACTTGGCGGTGCCCGGGGCGGTGGCGGAAGCCCCGAGCAAGTGGACTGCCCCGGCCAGGGGCTTTGTTTGCTTCTTGTGAGTTAGTGTTCAGGGCTGGGGGGGGGGGTCCGGTTTGCTTATGGTTTTGACGCTTCAGGGTTAAAAGGTTTAGGTTTTGGTCTTTGTCAGGCATGTTGAAACGTTATTGTGAGTTTCTTCGTGTTTCTGGTTGTTTCTTTATGCAACCTATGAAACGGGACT